TGCTTCTTCTTCGTACCAGTTTGCAATCATGGCTATTTATTGATAACATCGAGGATAATGAAATGGTGATTCAACGTGAACGGTTAATCAGCAGTGAGAGCGAATGGATATCTCTGTGCCAGAGCGTTATCATCAAATTTCTGTTATGTGGAAAAGTCCGTACCATTAAAAGCGGCAAAACGGGTATTTTATTACACAATTGTTTTTTCTGGCAGTTTTACATTTTCCGTGCAGGATTTTAAAAATTTACACAGAAGTCTTGCCTGATCTAAATCATTAGCCAAAATTTATTAAGGGGGGGCAAGCCAAATATGCGATAAATGCGTTACGCTGCTACACCTGTAAAGAGAGAGACGTGAAGTTGGGTAGGCCGGCCTGGGTATCATTTATAATGTTTAAGTGCATTGTTGGTTAACGACTTTTGAAACACCTTATTCTCACATCAGACCTTTATGATGTGCTTGACAACGATTTTTCGTTGAATTCAGTAGATTCGTGAAGGCTTGATGAATGCAGTAAAAGCATACCAATTTTGATCCTAACAAGCAAACGAGAAGGTTTATTATTCGGTCATTTGCAGTTTCCTGTTATTATCTCAGCATTAAGATTAGATGGTGAATATGATTTTAACTCATTTCTTCTCAGTTTCATTACAGTTTGGAAGGTGCCGAACTAAAGTATATGTTTCCCTTCCACTTGATACCGTATCTAATTTTATTACTTTGTCTCTATTATTTATGCCGCAATGGAATTGTGTATGTATAGATAGATATAAATGTACGTAGGCTCTACGTAAATCAGTGGTATGTATTATGGGGTGTAAATACAAAAATTGCAATATTACAAATATCTATTGGGTTGACTTTTGTCCGGTAATATATCGATATTTACCAATTTCAAAATATACATATAGGGTGCTTAAGTTAATACTTATTAATACTGATACGACCACAAGAGTTGTAACCTTAAACAGTTTCTTTCAAGATTTTTTATTGATTTATTTAAACATTAAGCGCTAAAGGATTCAACGAAAGTTAAAAGACCAATGAACATTGATTTATTACAAACTAACACGCTACTCAATTTTCGTATTTTCTTTTATTCGTTGCCCACCTTTAAACCAAAGGCGATATACGTATAAAAAGATACAATTAAGTACATATAACGGTTTAATTAATGTCATATACATACATATTCACGCACGCAGTGGTTTAATAATTTTAATTACTCAAAAGTGTTGCTTTATGTACGAGATATACGCAAATAGGTAAAAGCAGGGGCATATTAGAGGTGCGAAAATTTTAATGCTTGGAATTATGCGTGGTAGTCAAATGAGAATGTGATGGTCTCTCCAAATAATATAATGCAACAACAACGGGAGACGACCCACTGCTGCTGCCTGCTTCTGTTTTTAAATGGATTTTTCACGAAGAAGCGCAAGTATATGGTTGGGAGCCTGCTAATCAATAAAAAAGTTGTGGAAGGGGGTTATTAAATTCAGGAATGATAACTCTCTGCTTTGATTACAGCCTTGGTTGGTTGGTTGGCTGATCTGCTTCAACGCACCAGATTTAATAAATGCCTAGCTCCGAGGTGTAAATTGAATGTGGTTGGCTTGCTGACTTGCCTACAGAGTTGAAACAATTTTCATTTCACAAACATTTTCATCAAATTGATCCCTCATCTCAAAATACTGAGGAAAGGTTTCATCAAACAACAAGTTCTTCTTGATTCGAAACAGAAATGTTGACTTCACTTGACTTCCAACTTATTTTAGCCTTCCACACTGGCCGTTGGCTGCACAATGCGGCGTTTAATATTTAATAACATGTTAAGTGTGTGGTGGATGTTAATGTTATCGTGGGAGATGGTTAACTGCTTATTTCCTACGGGCATTGATTAGAACCCTCGTCATCGTAATAAACCATCATTAAAACAATGAATATCTTATCCTTAACTCGTGATGGTCACTGCGTTGGATAAAAGCTCAGTAGCTCTAGATGCACTTGGCTGATGAGATTATTTGTGTCGTTCTTTATTCATTCGTCCGCTGTGGATAATGGGCAGCCCACATTCCTCGAGGATTGAACCGCATTGTATGTACACGTAATTGGCATTTTAAAAATACTTTTCGCCTACAACAATTCTTAAATTGAACCGTTACGGACCGTGTTAAAAATTAGACTAAAGCATAATAACAACGAAGATTTAACGGCTGGTTACCACATTATGTCTCAAACCTTTATGCGATATGTACGAGTTGTTTTTCTTGATGGAGGAATGAGTGCCTATGCACAAGTGGTTACTGCCACGTTTAGTATATCAAATAAATTTTTCTGGTTCTTCGTACCTAAACACCTACCGGATATATATCTGTGTATGAAATAAGCGATTTTAACATATTATATGATTTCACGATTAATTTGCCGTCGAAGACAGCTTTTGGTTCGGCTCGTTTGCCTGAACCACTCAGCTTTGATTTGATACACAGATATCGATTAAAACGCACTTGTTGAGAAGGAATCCCCGTGGATGACCGCTTCTGGCTGTTGCACCCGAAGCACACTTAAAAGAGAAGCACCTACTTGATCCGATCAAAAATGAAAAGCGACAGAATATTACAAGTGAGTGAGAATATTATCGAGAGTAATTGCACATTTTTTTGCGTTTAATGTGGATTTCGTGACGAGAGAGGAGAAGTAGTTGACTGATATTATTTTCGGGGCTTTGGAGATAAGCATCACCTCCAAACTTCTTAATGAGATTTCTTTAAACCTCCAGTGATGTGTGTCCTCCTCTCAAACCTCCACCGCCACCACCACCAGGAATCTGATTAAAGATCCAGATTTCATCCAACTTTATTAATCTCCAAACTTTTCGAGAAGTGAGTTTTCCAACCAACTACATAAATACTATCTACTGCATTTAAACACCTATCAGTTCATTACTTACCTGCCTGCCTGCCCGGTCATGGGGTAGACTGTTACGTACACAGGTAGGTGTATATTACGTACTATGTAAAGTAGTAGTTCGATCTGCAAAAGAGTCCTCAAAGTTTTGACATGTTACCAATTTATTGCCAGAATGAACTTACATACGTAATGGACGTAAAGTCGAAAAATATGCACGGTGCAGGAATGAAAGAGTTCATTTGCTGCTAGGTGGTCATTTCAACAACACATTACACCGAAAACTGGTGGTAGTTTTTAATAGGTATCCGTAAAGGAGGCGAGGAAAATAGCAGCATAAGTATTCAGCTCACTCGCTTTAATAAGCAGCCAGCAAACCCGCATCATGTTTTGGTCCCCTTGAGGCCATCATCGTCGTCGACATCCTCGTCGTAATAATATCACACAGCGATAAACTCTGTAATGTAGGATTGGAGCATAATTAGCGCATTTACCACGGCGGCGGGGAACATACTACTCACACCTTTGTTTTATTCTCACACACCATAATTCGGCCCCATCTAATTTGGGCAACATTTTGTATTTTGTTTTCAACTTGGTATGCTTTGTTTGTGAGCTGGTTTGATGACTGCTGAAAATGTTATGATGACTTCAAATGAGGCATGAAGTTTACCACCACCTGCATCACCCAAAGTGCTATATGCATGCATATTTACATACTTATTTACTACGAAAAGTGTTAATCACAAGCAGAGTCACTAATATCCCTGTTTACAGCATTTGAAAGTTAAAAAGTTTCCCCGAAAAGCATAATTTCATTCCCTACCCTCTAATTAACTTTACCGACACAGGTTGCAATTATTCGCAAGTGTATTCTGGCTGCTACCTATTTGCATAAACTAAGTATTTAACGGATATTACACGTTGCATAGATGTGGTGATAAGATGGCATAAAATAAAATATAAAATTAATTTTTCACCACGGGCACTGAATTACATATTTCTTTAGTGCTCAAATTCTAATATGTGGCAATCGGGTGGATGGTGAATATATGCACCAATGTTGCATACAAAGCATGCATTCATCTCTCTTCACAAAGTTACAAATTATTCTCCTCATATGCTTATGCCGTACATACATATAGTCAAATCTGATACGTATGTATGGACGTATATTTGATGCTTCAAGAGATTTTGCTCCATGAAAATTGTGGATGTTGGAAATAAAATCAAGTAGCTTCTGGACATATTCATAAACTGGTACAAATTATATAAAGTACGCGTTTGAAACACGTCCTGATTGATTGCACATGAAAAGAGTAATAACAGCATCCACTTGTGAGTTGGCTGGCGATGAGCTTAGGAAAGTGAATCTAATCTTAATCTGAGATTAGTAGGGCTGGTGCTTCGAATCAGAGGTAATGATATAGCCTGCACCAATAATTTGCCTCATTTTATTCATCTCCAAGATTAGAAAGATGGATGAAGACAACAAGTAAAAGTCTTGTAGTTGGACAAGTTTTATCCTTGTGTGGAACAGTGATTTAATTTGATACCACAAAAGCAAATAAGATGATATGAATTTACATGGATGAGGGTGACGCGAAAGGCGTCCGGCTGGCTGGGATGGGTCACTAAATTCTTCCAGGTTTTCCTCTCCAGCAGGACGTGTACCTATTTACAAGAGAGATCAGGTCGCTAGAAGGTTTATTAAATGAGACTGCCTAACCCAACTTGTCATCCATGCGCTGGATTGACTGTGACACATTCCTTCGATTAAGGTTGACAGGTGAAACAAGCCAGTTGACGTTGGGTTGGAAAGGAAATCCATCCTCCTAATATCGTCCCCTGTACAGATAAGTAATAACACAATTGCATCGCTTCCAGATTGGGTTGGGTCCATGGGTGGCAGCTATGTGACACGTATGGCCGTGTATTTATGTACGTATCAGTATTTGTCCATGGAAGATACCCAAAGAACAGAAGTATGTATGCATATATACGTGCAGGGACAATAATAATGATGATAGAACTAACCAAGTCGACACTACTTTTATTTATTTTGGATTACTTTTTTCTTCAAAGTATCAGTTTAAGGTTTTATTGTAAAATTTGTTTGAGATTCTTTTTATTAAACGTCATTTTATTACTACTTAAATACAATGTTAAAATTATAGGTAACATACATTTGCGGGCTTACACAGTTAAATTAAAGTTAATAATACTTTTTGCAGGAGTCATCACATTCAAACATTTTGCTGGACAATATATTTAAGACTATCTCGTAAGCTAACTACTGCACATGAAAAAGTGTTCTCAAAATGAACAATGACTGGAATAAGCTGAACATTTGGAAGGAACTGGGGCAATGTTATAAAATGCTATTTGACGAATTTTGCCAAAACAAGCGACACAACGACACCAACAATTAACAGCATTATGCTAACAATAGTAATAATAATAATACCACAAGGAAAGTAGGTAGCCATACATAATTGTCTTTTTCGCCGTCCAGCCTATCGATTTACTTGAACGCTTTTGTATTACCTTCTCACATTTTGTCGATTTATGCATCAAATCGACCACCTACACAAAAACAACGACTTGGAATCATTGAAAAAAGTAAGCTGCCTATATAACCATTATTTTGTTCCTTTAAGAAATGACTATTTGAGCTGAACCCATGGATTAATACACACTAATTATTTATTATTATGGGATTGTTCCTGTTGATGATGATGACTTGGCTATGAGCGGTTGGAGCTGGAGTTGATGGCAACCCCAATCGTGGATTCGTTAATTAGTGAAGATGGGGGTACAGACCCCGGATTTGGGGAGGTGGACGCCGCTTTGGCCGACATTGGAGAAGGGTACGGAGTGTATCTCAAGTTGTTGGAGTTAATTGGACTCCGACCTCGATTCCCACCGCTCGGACTGTTGGTTGTTGTATTGTTGTTACTAATCCCGGAGGAAGGTGTGTTGTTTGGTGATTGATGGTGTTGTTGTTGCTGGGACAATTGTTGGTGATGGTGGTGGTGATGGAGTTGTTGCTGCTGCTGTTGGGGATGTTGAGACGCCTGGGTGAGGAAACCAGGTGGAAGTTGAGAAAGGGCTGACCACTGCGACCACAAGTGCGCTGGGAGGGGCAGTGGCGACGGGCTGCCTCGAGTGGGATTCAGCGTGAAGAGTTGGGGGAGTGAGGGGACGGAACCTGCGGCTGCTGCGAGAAGGTGATGAAGGGAGGCCTGGTCACCCCCACTCGGGTTTCCTCCGCCGCCTCCTCCGCCACCACCACCACCTCCGCCGACGGGATAACCAAGTGCGGCTGCTCGTGCCCCCCATTGTTGCTGCAGAATCCTCGCCTTCTCAATAGAGTTCATCAGATTGTTGTTGTCCATGTCCATTTCGGAGAAGAGTCGGAGGGGTGTGGCTGCCGCTGTTCGGAGGAAGTGATGCTCCAACGGAAGCATTGAGTCGCAAGGATCCCTGCAGAAAATAAGATCACTTGGTTTCCACCAAAAGACAAATTTTCTATTACATTATTCTTTCAAGAGAGAGTACAGCCCCAAAATAGAGGAAAATGGAGAGAAAAAGTGCGAGTGGCGTGTGCGTCTGTATATCTATGCATGCGGAAGAGAGAGAGAGAGAAGAAAATAAGTGGCTGCGGAGGGGAAGGGGAGAAAAGGACTAAAGGATTTCCAATCCCCAACGGCTCACTAAACAAAACTTCACTTTAATCGTTCGTGACTATGTGGAAGGAAGGAGGACGCGAGCATCCGGATATATTTCGAATAATATGCGACTTTCCTCTCGAGTTGCATTGCCATCACCCCAAACCAACAAGTATGGTTTAAGAATATATGCATGCACGTATGTACGTACGCATGTACAAATACATATGTATGGACGCATCATGCAACGACGAGAAAAGGCAAGTCGGATCCAAGCGAGAAATAAAATGATACAACAAATTTACCACGAAGAGGGGAATTACGCTCTAATTTATTGGATCTCACGCTTCCCCTCTTCTTTCCTAATTAATGAAACTATACGTATAGTACGTAGCATGGCGACTGTCGGAATGCTACAGAAAACTCAATTACCCAAGCCTGCAAATGGGAACCAAAAAGGAAATTGAAATTGTGAACTAGGCACGCAATGTATGCATCTAAATATGAACCATTAACTAATTTCTCTTATTTTCAGCTCAGTCAAAATTTCAAAAATTTGAAGAATGGGTTTCTTCATCAGAAAGAATGGCAGAAGCTGGAGGAGTAGAAACGCCAGGAGAGAATGAATAGTGTTAAAGTGTTGGGTGCATCCTTCGCTGGTGACTGGAGGTTCAACGCCTTTCGGGTCACGGACACGGAAATTTATTACCATCGATCTTATAATTATGGAAAGGGTAAATCACAGATGGTCCCCATGGACTGGGATGGTGGAAAGCAATATAGATCGCAGAGTGGAATCCTCTACACACATAACCAGCAGCAGCGGAGAAGACTCTTTCGCACTCGAACAATTTGATCCGACTAGTACCACCAGATATTGCTATCATCATCATCATCCATCCGTATAAACATCTTCATTTCCCTAAATGCCCAATTTACATGTTCGCTACTCCAAAGGCCATAAATTGCCAAACCTAAGCTGTGAATTATGCTTTCAACTTTCTCTTACTTCTTATCCCAGCCTGCTACATATTTACATGCACGGTCTGGATGGTATATTTTGAAATACGTGGTTGATCCAGGGAGGAAGCCACGATGCAAACTCTATTATTCTTGGCCTGCAAATTCCATTATGCTTTGGTTAAAGTTTAAAAAATATTGCCATTGATACATTGTTTCCCAGTGGCATAATGCGAATACTTATCTAACTTCACTATATATATATATATTTAGTTCCGAGAGAGAGAGACAGACAGAGGTTTGTGTATGGTGGAGGTGAGTTGTAGCAAATAATAATAATCACAACAAGTCTGCACTATATCCCCAGCCAACGTCATCTCATCTCTATCCATCGGCACCACAAATTATTACCTTTCCTTTACAGTTCTCGCAATATAAATGGCCTCATGTTTCCCAACGTTTCCTAATAAGTACAGCCAATTTGTTTCCTTCTCTCGTTACAACCCACTTTAAACACTTTAATATCCTTTCGATTTTCTGTTTTCATGACCCGAGTAATTCCTAGTAGGGCCAGACGAGCCCTTCTTGCGGAACAAGGATTGCCTCAAAAACCAATACGAGCCCCATGATTATTTTCTCCTGTGTTCACACTGAAAACTTGTTGTCAGCAATTAATCAATGGTGAGTTTGGCTCCGTTAGAAAACTTCAGAAACGATAAGTACAAAAACCTCATTAGTCAAAAAACCGACAAGTTACTGAAACTGTTACTGAAAGTTACTGAAATTGTTATTTTACACGCTTTAAAACAATATCTTGCGACAAGGTGTAATTTTTGTAACTTTTTTAACATGTAACATTGCTTAAGCAATGCAAATGAAGTCTCACCTTCAGATAAATTTAGAAGCAAAATTAAATAGTGTTCGCTAATAACTCTCCAATTACACATGAATACTATTTATTGTCGTGGGAGGATATGCAATAAATTTTTTAGCACCATAAACATTTTTTATTGATAAAGAATGTTTAGCTGAGGTGGAAAAAGAAGAAGAAAGGATCGTTCAAAATGCAATAACTTTCTTAACATAAATAAATTCCTAAATGTTAAACCTGTGCAAAACATAAATTAAAATTAAACTTTTCGTGTTCATCCAGCTCAACGCTGTTTCAGAAACATTGTTGTAGTTTGCACTTAACGATTGGGGTTGGTCTGGATTGCCAACTAAACATGTTTGTATGAACAATAAACAGCGTCGGACAATTCCTATGCAACTCAAGTTTAAAGGACCATTAATCCTCAAATGGGTGGAAAAGCGTTTTACGATCAACTTTAGAATTTGAAACATAAAGCATTAGGCACACAACTCATTATTTTGTGTTCATAAACGTAGATTTGCAAATGTCCATAAAATCCGACTGAGCAGCTTCCCGTAATAAAAATATTTTTGCAACAAGTATAAAATGTTTGCTACTTTGCACACAATGAAATTCAACTCCTCTGCCTGAACGAGCACCCCACTTAAAGAGCGTGAACGTGCAATTTTTGCTTCAATAAACACTCTTTAGAATAATAATACATTATTTGGAAGTGGTTGGCGTCGGTCTAAGATTTCTGGGTTGCTCATACAATGTGTGAAACCAATAAAATTTTTGTTGTATACTTTTTAAAACCTATGAACCACGAACCATTCGATCCTGGCTTCGTGTTGAACTGGCAAACCTGATGAGATATTTTGGCAACAACCAATTAACTACCCACTTCATGTCATTTATTGTATGCTTCCAATAGTGTGAATTTGTAAAAAAAAACATTAAGCGACTTTGATACACAGATCCAAAGTTTATAATAAGATGTCTAAATATATGTTATATAACTATGTAGTTTAGGTATTTGGAAGGAAGATCCGAGGTTTCAGATGACAAAAGTCACAAGTCAACAACATGGGTGTGGAGCTGTGGATCCGAAACATATGCCAAAAAATCTAACGACGAGGACATGAAGAAGAATTTGGACCACCAAGCACGGAAGACGATGCGGACGACTTCTTGAGCTAGTTTGCATTTTCACGCCATGACAAATCCGACATCCCAAATTCACATCTGAAACGAGTTAAGCAGACTTTTCTCTATTTCTCCTCGAGAGCGAACAATGAAAAAAGCTGTGAAAAGAGGAAAGCTGGAATTTTGGGCGGATGGCGAAGCATAGTGAACTGAAGGAGAGAGGAGAAATGTAATCAGAGAAAAGATGTGTCTGTCGCCCACCTATCAAAACCCGTGAGACGACGTGTGTAAGACAAAGAATAAAGAATTTGAGTGTTTGGTATGCAAATCACCAAACGATCACTGTAGATCTTATCGACAAGGGAAACCCCACAAAATAAACAATCTCACGTTGTTTCACATACGCATTTCGACTCTCAAACCATGCAACGTATTTAGTACTGTACTCTTAAATATGCATTTCAAACAAATACAACTAAATCTGAATTTTATTTAGTTATATATTTACGTTTATATAAAATAGTAACTCACCTATCGAAATCTGTCAAACGGGAACTATCGCGGAAGCCCTTGGCGAATGGATTACTATCGATCTTCAATTTAGTGATCTGTCAAAATAAAGAAGAAAAAACAATGGTAAGAGTAGAAATTGCATTATCACAGGCAAGTAAATTTAAGAAATGAGCAAAAACTGGTGTGATCTGTAAAAACAAGTTATTTCTGTCTAGTTTGGTGAACTGGAAAAAGGCGAAACATTGTGTTGTAGTAATTAGCGCTCAGAATAACAAATCCTCCAATTAAACTTCAAAGCTCGTCAGAGGACCCGAACCGAATTTTCCAAGTCGCATACCTATCTTTTTCCAACCAAGCCGAGTTTGTCACATTAGTCTCCATCATCTACATTCTTGCAACACTTTTACTGATGAAGAGATCATATGCACGTACGTACGTTGATGAGGCATCCTGGCAATTTTTTAATTTGGGCAAGATGCGGTATTTGGCTTATGTATGAATCCTATGGCCACCGCCATGGGTGGCCTGAATCGGTGAAATAAAATAAAGTAAAACATTTCAACTATGACTAAAGGGGCGAATAAAACTGTAGCATTGGTTGTAAATAGCATTTGGGAGAGATAGAGTTGGTTAGCGTGGTACGTACATCCAATTACCACGAAGACTTCTTTATGCATGATTTACTTGCCCACAAACTAACAACAACAACTGGAACAGCAACTATATCTTTCTTGGTCTTTTTTTTATTTCACCAGGCAAGACATAAATTTCGGACTCGTCATTAACTTTGTGATCAACAATGCGTCACTATGATTTACAATTGTGCGACCTTCCCGAGGTGTTGTTAAATTATAAAAGTTCCGTTCCGTGGGAGAGATCCCTATAAATGGCAAAAATCCAAGAGACAATGCGAGGGGCACGATAATTTATTGTAATTATATAACACAACATCTTATTTCTTTATGTTCGGTTTATGACGATATTCTCTTTTATGAGTACAATTCAGCAGAAATTGCAAACCTTAATGACGGAGTCATCTCAACCTTTGTTAATATTAAAGACTGTGATGACAAGATAATAATGACACTTGGGTAATAAATGATCTTCTTTTACAAATATCTCAATTTAAATACAATGAATGGTACGTAAGTTCGTACAACTATATGCACATCTATGTACGTCTCGCATTGAATCAAGTGCATTTTGGTGAGCCATCACTTCAAAAGTGGGCAATTCTAACGAACTGATGGCAGACACCCCTACAAAACTGGAGGCAATATATATGTATTTATGAATGTGTTTAGATATATGGATGGATATACAGCTTGTATCCCATTTTTTGTATCGTAGTCCAGAAGAAAGACCCATTTGACACTTTTTCTCAGAAGCGAAAAAGGGCAGCGAGAAGTGGACGTATATACTCTTGTACAATGCACAGATGCTGTAATAATCTAGACTTAATCTCTGCACCTTTTGCTAACCCTTTTGTCATGCTTTCGCGCTAAAATATAGTAATGTGGAAACTTGGCTTGGTTGTGTATCGGAATGTCTTCGTGATGTGTACGTACATATTTATGTATGTAAATATGTACGGACACAGATTGATACATGTTGTCGTGATGTGCTTCGGCAGATTTACATTTGCATTTTAACAATAAAAAGTACAAAAAAGCGTAGTACTCACCAATTGGTTTTGATACGCCGTAACAGCAGTGAAAACGCATTCGGAGAAGATATAAGTGCGAAACTGCTCGGAATCCAAGTCAATATTAGAGTTTCCAGGAACAATTCCTTCTCTCCATTTCACTATGTGAATTCTTGGCTGGTAACGATGCATCGAGTTTAGTACCAACTGTAAAGACAATACAATTTAAATAACGCCTTTGAACCACCTCGACACGCCACTCGGCTCGACTACTGCATGCATAAATATATCCAGAAACATATACACTTTGCCGTCTCTCTGTTGTAAATCCCGTTCCCTTCCATTATACAAATTATTGTGGACAAGTGTTGCCCGATTTGGGAAAAGAGAAAGCAGGCAGTTGTGGTTATCCTAGTAGTAAATTGTAAATGTAAACAACATGACATGAGCGAGATGAAGTAACAGCCTGTCTCGGCCAACCTCAAATTGCTTTATTCAATTTCCCAAGCTTCTTTCAAAATAGAGTGGATTTGGACCTTTTGCATGCATGCATGTGGGAGCTTTTATGCGAGTGTGTGCGTGCTGCATTTTATTTCATTTTGTGAGCACATCATCCATTTTACACAATCTGAAAAAGTGGCTTCATCTTTACATTTTTATCAGTCCAATGTTGGCTCATAGAGCGGCGGAGGAGGACCCAAACTGACGACACCAAAATGTGTTTCATACTGCATATTTAGTTGTGAATGTAAAACAGCTCATGTATGCATAAACTAGATTTTGTCCAATCTCTGACCACATCACAGTTTTCACTACTCGTGCTGGTTTTGTCCATCTACCATAAATATCTCCATCTCCGTATCTGTATAAACTCACCAGTTCATTTTGGCTCTACTCTGGCAAAAGAAGTTTGGATGTAAATTTATTCTCCGAAATCCTATATTTTGCTAAAATGCTATATCCTATAGCATTTTGACAAACACCATTACAAATTCGGTAGGGATACACACTACCGAGTTTGCAGTATGTACATGTACTACAGTACTATACAGAGTATAGGATACACTACGACGGTAGTACTACTTGACTACTTGGACCTTTAAGATAAATGCGACCTCTCCAAAACTGGGAATTGTCTAATCTAATCAAAATACATTGTTCAGCCAATGTAATTGGCTGAACTTTTAATAAAATCACGCCAACACAATTGGATTATTTTCTAGCCGGCATTTGGCGTGCTTATGCATTGATGGTGGGTGTGTAAGTATTGATGTAGATTGTTGTAGGGACTTTTTTTTAAATAACACTAATTGAATGGAAATTGAACTGTGTTCGATATATTTATTTCCTACCAATTGCCTTCTCACACCAAAAGCGAGGATTGTACAAATCGTGAGTTTGTTATTTGTTTGTATTGTGCACACCGTGCGACCACCCAGAAAAGAAGCAAGTGTCCAAAATAAATTATTGCAAGGGTTGAAAATAAAGTCTGGTTTACTGCTACACGGGGTTTCCTTATCATTGGTCTCAATCACATGAATTTAAAGATAGAGGAGCTGTATTTCGTCCCTGTACACATAAAGACATGCATGTACAGCGGGGGCGCTGGACTGTTCCCCCACTTTCTACATCAAAATTTTTTGATATTCCCGTATGCACGACTACATATTAGCTACATGTTTCCCCTCATCTGGATCTGGCATACAAATAGACAATGAAAAAGCAACCTGAATATAACTGTTTGGGAGCGAGCACGTAATGACAATAATAATTTAGAACGATGGAAAACGATAGGAATCAAACGTTTTGCTACTTCACAGCCAAGGTATCAAACCACATGTTCTTCCATAAGTACGTAACTCATACTCGTACAAGGTGAATTTGACTGAAAACTCTCTCCGAGTGACTGGAACGACCAAAAAAACTTGCTGAGCCGGCTCATAGTAATTGTAGTAATGTTAGGCAAGAAGGAACAGAAGGCTACCAGGCGGAGGGGTTCATCATCATCTTATCATCTCCTAGACATGAGTATATACATATCGATATATGTGTATACAACCAGCCATGTACTTGCATACGGATGAAAAGTTATAAAAAAAATATATAAAACCATGCATTTGAAGAGCACGTTATGTTGTGGGACCAAATGTATGAGACAGTTAGCATCCCATTCTCTAAGTTTACAGTTTACACTTTACACAAATTGTGAGCACTTGAACAAATTAGAAGGTAGTAGTGTAGACTAGTGCACATAATACAATGCACGTCAGATATTTCGTTCAGTCCATTACGACATTGTAAACTTACGGGAGACATTTATAGGGGATCGATCATCTTCAATGTACACTTTTTGATTCCTTTGATAGCATAATGTTTGCTCCAGAGGCAAACGAGTTTCAATTACTGTTGCCTTTTCAGAATGGAATTTTCTCAAAAACCACATAAATTTGTTCTGGTACTCGTATTAGCTTCTCAGAGAGAGATTGTATATATGTAGGCAGCATATGTATATGGACAGATTAGAATTTAGATTAGAGACACATTTATAAATCTTAGTTCGTAGATCTGTTATGCTCAATCAGTGATAGATAATCAGTGATGTCGTAAAACGCGTAAAAGTGACCGACCAAAATTTATTAGTGGACTTGAAAGGTGACATTGTTTACAACTTTGCAGCCTAGTTATTTAGAATCTGGCACAGAAATCGAAATCACCATATTTTCTCAAATTTCAGTACTTCGCTCCATTAGTATGTTCAGTTATATCTCAATGCGACAATTATTTATGTTGTCTAGCTCATGTTTTATAATCCATCCACAACTCACAAGGGAACCTTAAGTACTGTCCCATCTCGATTTCCTTTCGGATAGTCTTATTTGATAGATAATTTAGTGTAACGGAAACTTTGTCATAGAACATACGGTGCAAAATCACGTTGTCGCGAAATATTTGGCGAGAGCTGGTCCAAAACGTGTCATTTTACCAATGCTTTTAACATAGATAACAGCCTTCGGAATGATGAAATGAAGTTTATAAATTATACACCTGTATGTAATTTCATGCTGATCATCAATCTGTAAAAAACGATGCTAGCATTTGTCATTTTTCCAAATTGTGAAATTCTGCAAAATTTTCTAAATTTGAATTTCGTCATTTTTTTAAATTTCAACAAAATTAATATGTTAAACTTCTTTTAAGCATTACACAAAAAAGTTTTCAAACCCCAATTTTTCCTAACTTCAACACAATGGGCCAAAAATTTCAAAAATTGAAACTCACAATTTTTCATGAAACAATATAACATGACCAATGCTAATCTATTTAACGTGTTCTTCAAACTTGTTGGTTAAATTTATATTTGCAAGTTGTAAAAAATTCTGGAAATTTGTATCGTCAGTTTTCGACATACTCAATAAAATAACTTTTCCATACCTCGTTCGAGATTTTAAGCTTTTTGGAAAACTGGAAAAATGTTCATCTGGGAGGGACCCTACGGGGTCCCTCCACTATGGCATATATATATAGGGCGGCATAAATATCTATATTTATATGCGACTGATTTTGCACCGTATGTTCTATGACAAAGTTTCCGTTACACTAAATTATCTATCAAATAAGACTATCCGAAAGGAAATCGAGATGGGACAGTACTTAAGGTTCCCTTGTCAGCCACTTTCTCCAGCTCTGTGCGTATGATTTAGGAGGGCGATGATGGAAGGAAATGGGACTGATGTAACAGATAATCTTCTAGTTGCGTTTGTGTAAGCATAATAAATTAAATGAGACTTACATGTCCGCCTTTATCCATCTCATTGTTCGTCAATTTAATTTTCTCGAATGAGATTACTTGCTTCCTAAGTTGGTCTCCCGTAAATGGAGAATCCGGATGAACGTAAAGCCGGTTGGGTGCTAGAATAAAAGATTTCTTGTCTCAATCTCTAATTAATAATGGAAACATAGTCAGGAAATGTATAAAGATCATCAATTATAACTACGATTCAAGCGATTTTATTGATACAAATTACATTTAGTGAAAATATTTCATGCCAAATCACAGTTAAAATTGATGTTTTGTAAACGTCCCAATCTCACATTTACCCCAAGTTGTTTGCTATTGTTACTAAATAAATCGTCTCAAGAATAGTATGGATAAGAAAGCTATTGATAACTTACCAGGCGCATCTGCTTTTCCAGCCACCAACCAGGACGAACGGTGGTAGGCGTAGCGGTATCGCTTATTATCGACAGGTACGATATCCAGAAGAACGGCATATCGGGTGTCCAGGTTGAGGCCGGTGAAAGAAGTCCTTACCGTCGGAAACATTCGCCTGCAAACAGGAAATTAGATTCTTATTGCTTTGAAGTCATCTTCAATAATGCAACGTGCAACGTCATAGTAGACATTTCACCCACGGCACATCATGCGCAGTGTGTTTAATTCATTGAAGAAAAAGTGAGATGGGATGTGTGTGTGGTGTGGTTGTGATTATTATTTGCTTTGACTTGTGGTTTAGGGTGAGGGGAGTGATTTCGGTTAACAAGGTGAACCACAATAGCATGGCAAGAAGACTGTAATTTGACAAGGTAAATTGTTGTTGAATGACTTGACAAATATTTTAAATGAATAACTCGACTTTTATTGAATTACTCGTCTTGTAACAAACCCATTGAGGGATCCTGAGCAACAACTCGTAACAATGCCGCACTTAAAACCATGACTTATTTTTCATAGAAAATGATGAGTATTGCCCTCGATGGTGGCATAAACTGGAAGATAAAGCAAAGGACCAGCTAATTGAATTTAACAATAACCAGCGAACTGGATAACTGGCTGCACATATGGCATCAGGTTCCTTCATCAATTAGATCGGCTCCTTTTACCACTTTAAAAGAATCGTGTGGCTGCACGATAGCAATTTAATTGCAATTTAGTTGATATCAATAATGTCGCTAATCTTTAATGGGAAGGAGAAAATACTATCATGAAATAAATAAGACTGAAAATAAAAGTACGTTAATGAATTTGTTCCATATTTTCATACGTCCTTTAAAAGATGACGTTTAGCAACCTACCCCGAGTACGCAAATAAAATTAAAGAATTATTAATCTCGTTTTGATACCCTTCAATATAAAACTCCAAATAAATGTAAGGCGTATAAAACTTGTTAACCCTCGTGTGATTGGCAACCTTTTCAACTGGTGCATCGAAAAGTTACAGTGTGTCAAGTTGAAAATGTTAGCGTCGATTTTGAGAGGACTATGCTTACTTCACCACGGAGAACGATGCATGTAATTTAAGTTGACTGAGGCCAACTCTGAGGATGAAATTATTAAGTTGAACAAAAGAGATGCACCATTTGATACAATGCACATAAAACTACGTACTTGCCCTCATCATTATCCAGCAGCTAACAAAAAGGGAAACGCTCAAAAGGGTTCCATTTCAGATGCACCGTACCCAACCAATTCTTCTTCCCTTGTCCGTGTGCAGTCAATTCGAACATTTTCAATCTGATTTGGAAATCTATAATTTTCTCACTCAAATGACTCAACTGCATCCTTAAAATGTGGGAAAATGGTGTGTTGGGCAAATGTTTTAGCACCAGCAAAGGTGTTTGATTACACATAATTTCAATTTTTAATCCCAAATGTGAACTTGATCCCATTTCCGATACCGTAACAAGGATACATTAATGGAGCCACTTTTGTTGATCGGTGCAGGAAAGGAAACGCTGACTTCTGCCCATTCTGTCTTTTTCGTTTTTTATTGTTAAATGCGGAAATGCCATAGGCAGAGATCTGTCCGACCCTTTTTAAAATTTCTTATCACAAATCAATACTGCTTTTTAAGGGAGATGATGAGTCTCGTCTTTCTTTACCCCATGGAAGTACATGTATTACGCTTGGTTGTATTTACGATGTTAATAACCCAGCTTAAACCCCAAAGATGTCATTGTTTCCGCGTGGAGCTATGCAATAATATGCCGCTGCTAATTGCCATTCATAGAGATTTCTCAGGCACACAATAATTTTTATCGATGACTACTTATTCCTCCGAGAGGCCGAGTTTATCATTAAGCCACAGCTATCATTTTTATTGCAGGATTTGGAATTCTTGGTGATGATGTGTGAATTATTTTTTGCCTCGAATTCGCAAGACTATATCTGCATGCAAGCTTTACTACCGCACCAATCATCAACTTGAGAGTATAAAACCATCATGCAGATAGCTAATTTGAGGTGCTAATAACTATGAAACAGCCAGTTATAAATAATGACCTCCGTCAGAAGAGAGGTAGATATACATATGTAGCAGACCAGCGTTTCATGTGGTCTGAGAAGAGGCCTGTAATTATTAAACAGAAGGTTAAATGGCGCATTATCAGGATCAAGTGGCATAGCAAGTATTCACACAACATTTGATAATTGCTATTTGGAAATTGAAACAGGAAAACCCAGTCTAAGTCGCGGACTATCTTATCCACATACCCGATAATTTATCCTGACTAGATTTTTAGTTAAAGAGTGAACAGGAAAAGGGCAGAAATAGAGTTAACGTTAACGTACAGCTCAAAAATGAATGCATCGCATAGGGCCAAGCGCGCACTTGTTTCATGAAAGAAAATTGATGCCGTTGAAACTTTGGCTTCTCTCAAGTGTGTTATGCAGTTTGAAAAAATCGTGAATTATTATTTTTTAAATAAATCCTCACTGAAAAGTGAAGGAAGCGATTTAAAATTCACACTGCACGCATTGTTGGCGATTTGGTAATCTGCAAGTGTGATATGGCGAAGATGTTAAATACACAAAACTAGACACTCAAATTCAGTAAAATGACTCTGGTAATGATAGTAATTAGTGTACACATCTACCAATTCTCAGGATAATTATCGACGATCGTATTAAATAAATGACGTGATATCAAATTTAAAGATCTTTCTACCAGCAACCACACGTTTTTACTCCGCTTGCCATACATACCACCAACAATCAAGTTTCAGTTAATTTCAATAAAATGCAGATATACAATTACCATTTAATCGGAAACAACTACAAGTACGAAACGAGTACAGCACTCTTTTTTTCCATCCTACAAACTTAAATAGGTAGTTTTATTAAAATTCTAGCATTGCACGCATGGCTTCAATCACAATATACAAGTATAATTGTTTTCAAAATGAACATATAATTGATACATAAATGAAACTGAAGATCATGTCCGGAATAATAAATTAAGTCAGACTGACCCATGACCTCAACTCTTGAGGCTCTCCACTCATGAGCCAATCCAGCAACAAAATGAACAAAAATTATTAAACTTGCATTATGAGCCTGGTTGTCAGTTTGGAAGTGAATAAAGTATTGATTTGAATATTATTCACCATCAAATACTTCTTCCCGATACAATATCCAAGTTTGAGTTGAGTTTAATCCACACATTTGATGATGTTGTAAAAACATACATTTGTGCATATGCAGCCAGCAGTTTCATCGATCATGTTAAACCCGTCATGATGCAAACGATAAAGAATTTACCACAAATAATTCCAGCTTGAGAAAATGATAAAAACTGGAACAAACATCCTTTGACTTACACAAACAAGAGTTATTCGAACTTTACACCATGTTTATGGTGTACCTACGTATTCGTAGCAAATGTTTTGTTGTCAATTCCGAACCAAATTAACGTGTAGGTTTGTGGGTTCCATAACTAGACGAGTTTTTTGTCCTCTTTTCACTGCAGTTTGCATACTAAACGGCTCACCTATTTCGAGACTGCGTGCAAACTTTTTACTAAATAGTTTTAAAACTTCTTCCTGTATATCATAGAAAAAGTATGACTTTTATATTTTGGTTCTTATCGTGTACAACGTCTTTATAACTAGGAAACGACGAACAATTGTGTCGTACTTCGATCTGTACATAAGCTCGTTCAGCTAAAATGCATATGTATCAGTGCTCTCCAGTTCGTAAGAAAAGGAAGAAAGGAGGATGCGGGTCATAGACAGCATCATCTTCATCTTTGAGAATATTTTTTGTGGTTTGCCTTCCCTTAATTTTTCCTGACTTGACTTCCATCAAAGCCGTCAACTTTGCCTTCTGCCAACTAACTTGCTCTGACTTTTAGCTTAGCGGTGGGTCTGATCCTCTCTCACTCTCACTTGCGTACGATATACGTAGGAAAAAGAGATGCGATTTGCTTCGGGTGAAGTTGTTGGCTGCGGCAATTAGAGATATATCTGATCTTTTTAATACGAGAGTCATCATTGTACACGACAACGTTGGAAAAGGTTAGCGCGGTGAGGCAAGATCGAGATGCATGTCTGAAAATTAAAAGTGCGCCAGGAATGTAATCCATGGAATATAATCCACACGTCAATTCGTTCAAGTAGTTGCAAGCTAACACAACAGAATTATGCCGCTAAAAAATATTTGCATGAATATTGAAATTATTAGTTTGACGTTATCTTGGATAGAATTTTATGCATTTAGGATAATCTATTTACAAATTGTTTAAGGTCGCAACGGTTCGATGCATTATTTTGAAATTATAATATCAAGAAGAAGGGTTCAGGCCTTCCTTCATGTCAATAAGGGTTGAAATAGACGCTAAATACAGGGTGGTTAAAATGTCACGCCACAATGGAAAATTTTTCAATGGGAAAAGTCCCTAAATCTCCATTAGTTACAAGATTTTGGATTGAGATTTTTATAAATTATTATCAAAACTGATGACAAAATTCTTAAAATGTTGCATTTTAGAGACAAAATTTCGGTAACTAATGGAAATTTATGGATTTTTCCCATCGAAAAATTTTCCATTGTAGCGTGACATTTTAACCACCCTGTATGTACACACATGCAAACACAGGTCACTTGCGGGGAGTTTGATATCGTGAGGGTAAAAAAAAGTTTGAAACGAACGTAATTTACAGTTCTTAGGTCAATTTTATCAATGGCGACTATTGATGAGGGAGCATACAAAGTAAAAGTTGTGATAATGCTTGTAGGATATCTTACTCTCGCAAGTCCAGTAAATTGATAAAACATGTCTGTTTGCACTTAGCGATCGACAACTTCTCACATTCTGGGCCAAGATAAAACAGTCACTCAACAGGAATCATCATAAATACACGAAAGGAGTGAATAAAAATAACTCCATAAATTGTCTTAATTCGACATCAGTGTAGTTGAAAGTGACACATTGATAATAAAAAGTATAAATATGAGTTTGCCATTATGAGAAAAAAAGTTGAAATGTTTATGTATGTGCTTCGCATAAAGCACTCAAACAGATTTCTACTGATATTTTGCCTTTCCTAAAAC